CTCAGTCAGTCTATCTCAGTCTATCTCTCTGACTCTATCTGATCTTTCTCTCATTCTGTCTCTCTCTTTCTCTCTCTATCCATTCCTCTTTTTCTCTGTGTCTCTCTGTCTCCCTCCATCTCTGTCTTTCCTTCCTTTCTATATTCGCTATATTCAAGGCGTTAAGTTCTCCGAAGAATGGTCTGGGTTGATTTATTACGTGCTATTGCTATTGTTGGTCAGGATCCCGAGTCGTGGGGACAGAAGGATCCGGAAGGCTATCCGTGCGGCCCCGCTTGCTACGACTGCTTTGACTTGGCGGCTGTGATCCGTCCAGGCGAAGACGCCGAGGACTTGTTGAAGGGACAAGAACCCACGAGCGCCGGACCAGACCCTCACCAGTGACTTCAAGACCGCCCTTGTTTCGCCCTGGCGTGTCTGTGGACCAGAAGTGCGTGTACGGATACACAGTGTCCCAGAAGTACGCGCTTGTCACCGAGAAGGAGTTCCTGGCGCAGAACCGGTGGACTTGCCCTGCATGGGCCGGGTGCAAAACAGTGCGCCATGTTCCTCCTGGGTCTGGAGGGCATGCCTCCGGACCAGGCCCAAGCCGTGAGGACAGTGACCTTGGAGTTCAGCAGGAGCGCAGTGCGCTCAGACAAGTACTTGTGTCCTGCAGACCAACTTGGAGGCCAGTTTGTTCTGTGAGTGGTTGCGCGTGGCACGCGTGTTTAGCAGGGCTTTCATATAGTCACTATAGTCATGGTTTTCCTAATGTAGCGTAGATAGTCGATTACTAGATTCAGTAGATGGGGAAGGTTCCGCAGGAATGAAGTGAGTGTATTTTTCCAGGTGTTCATTTTGGGGGAGCCTACATGTCCAATGAAATCCGATGTTTTTTTTTGAAGCCCGGTGCAGGATCAAGGCGACCGCATGCTCGCACACGTGGCTGGGCTCACACGTCCAAGCAGGGTAGTGGAACAGAGAGCCTGAACACGAAGCTGACGGTCAAGAGTGTGGGCGACTTGCGTCACGAGGCCGACCTCGCTCGGAAGCAAGCGGAGGAACTTGATGCTCAGTTCAGGCAAGCGGCCACTGCCCTGGAGACTGGGGGTGGGGATGCCGATTCCGCAGACGAGCTCATGAGAAAGGATGAAGACGAGTCAGGAACTCCAGAGCCGGGCAGGGCTGTCAAGCGCCGTGCCGGTCTCGGCGGAGGCATGATGAACCCAGCAGCCAAGACCCAGCCGCAGGCTACGAAGAAGTTGAAGAAAGCTGCTGCTGGCAGTGCTGCTAGTGCTGCTAGTGCTGGTCCTGTGGAAGCCGCCCCAGCAGCCGAACAGGAAGGTGTGCTGGTTCCAAGGGCAGCTGTGCCCTCGCCAGCGCTGCTGCGTTTGAGGGGCGCGGAGAAGCCCTCAAGTGAGCAAGGTCGCCCGTCCTCGAAAACGGGTGGCAAGGCAGCTACAGCTACAGCTGCCAGCGCAGGTGCTGAAGCCATGGATGAGGAGATGCAGTCCGTGGCCGAGCACTGTGGTCCCTCATCGGCTTGGTTTGCGAGAAGTTCCTTGAGTTCAAAGCGGAGCCTGGGAGTGGAATGTGTATCAGTGTGCGCCATGTCTATGTCAGTCTATGTCTATGTCTATGTCGTGCTCAGTTTGTTGCCTAGCGTCCTCTTGTTTTACTAGTCATAGTGAAAATACTGATTACTGATAGCTACTGAGACTGCTATTGAATATCGGTGGTCAGTTTGCGATAGTAGGCTCTGCTAGGGCTGCTCTGCTCGGGGGCCCTGAGTTTGTGAGGTGTCACGTCGTGGAACTTAGACTTAGACATACTGGATGTTGTGCCTGCGCTGTGTTCTTGGCAGCTGCGATAATCAAAGGGTGTGTTGGTGGTTTTGCGTGTGTGACCCGGATCAACGAAACTTCTCCAGTAGCATGCTGAGGACCAGCAACGGTATGGCCTCTCTGCGAAGCTTCGAGGAGTCTGGTTCAGTCTGGTCCGTGTCCGGTCTAGCAGCAGGGTGGCTTCTGCGCTGCTTAGGCTTATACCAACCTGTGCTTACTGTTCCAATCTTCTAGGAAGTTTGAGGTGCGCTTCACGTTATCGTTGACGTCTGGCGAGCTAGCGTGGAAGTCCTAAAGTTCTAAAGGTTTCTTGGTTATAGGAGTTATAGGGCCCTCAAAGTTCTTCAGATTCCAGAGTCTGGAGTCTAGACATTGAAAAGATTATTTCTAAAGGTATTGAGACCTGCAAACGTCCCGCCATCCGTCAGTCGGAGATCAGGTGCGATGTCCCATCTGGCGCTATTGAAATTTCGTGTACAATGTAGATTTTAATTGTACGCAGAATTTAGATTTCGATACAGTTTCCTTGAGTCTGATGTTTTCAGCCTGGGCTGTTGTTGTATTCTGGTTGCAGTTAACAGTTAGCAGCTAGCAACGAAGCAGCAAACACGTTTTGCGCAGATCTTGGGACTGTGCTTCTCTCAGGCAAGTCAGATCCGGGCTTCCGGAATGCTAGCGAGACCTTGAGCGAGCGCATAGACGCTTGCCAGAGCTGCGACGTGTTGGCATCGAAGGACATTCGACAGATGAAGCTGGATGATGTCAGGAAGCTCGTTACGCTCAGCAAGGCTGGCTGGGAGAAGTACCCCTTGCACGTCAAGTCGAAGCTAGTCCAGCACCGCATCCTGCACGTCCACTTGGTGAACTTGGCTCGTGGCTTCGGGGTCCCCCTGCCTACGGCTGTGACCTTGAGAAGACGGAGACAAGTGAGCAGAAACCGCCGGTTCTTACTGCAGTCGAGGCCATGAAAGCTTTGGCTGAGTCTCTGCAGCTGCTGGGAAGTTCAACGTGCGGGCGCCTGCTCTCCCGTCCCTAGTGAAGGACCTCGTCGCCGTTGTCAGGGGCAAGTTGCAAGAGCTCAGGGTCATAGGGGACAGCTCCAAGCAGGACGAGACGGACTTTGTCCTGGACATTGGCCAGGCGCAGAAGCAGAGCGCCAAGACGGAGGAGAGTGTCATCGAGAATGCGTTGGAAGCAGAGGCAGCCATCGCGCAGGCTGCGTGTGAGAGCCTATTGACCTATTGCTATAAATACTACTATTCAAATTCAAGTACTATTACTGTTACTATTACCATTACTATACCTATTGAGGACCTATTGCCCTTTCACTAGGTCACTGTAGGGTGCTAGGGCTAGCCTAGGGCCTAGGATCTGAAACCTTAAACCTGGATTCGGATCTTGACCTCCACCCTAAACCCTGAGCCCTCAACACCAAACCCTGAACAACATCACTATCACTATACTTTAAACCCTCAACCCTAAAGCCTTAACACTAAATCGCCATACCCGTCCAACTTTTTTTGGCTGTTATTCCAGTCTGGTAAGTACGCATCCAAATTTCATGTGTTCTCATTGTGGGTCGGTGCTCATCCCAAGTCAGTATGTTGCTGCTTTACTTTACATCACTACGAATTCCCATCCAGATTCACACTGGCTGGTCAAAGCGAGCCCCAATGCTCACTACCCAGAATTAAAATTCGGAATAGACGTATTTCCCTTTTGCCAAGGGCATTGCAGAGATCGTGGGCTCGGCCTTGGGCCATGGCGACGTTTTCTTCGATGTGATCAGAAAGGGTCTCGAGTGCAAGGAGGCCGCTGTCTGTTTTGCGGAGGTGCTGCTGAAGGGCAAGATGGCTTTGGATTTGGAGATGAAGCAAGACGCCATCGTCTGGGGAAGCTCTGCTCTTGCGCCTCTAGTGGAGATTGCCAACCGCCTGGAGGCAGTGGGGAGGTTCTTCAGCCACATCTTCTGTGTGGATGTTGCCGATGGCATGAAGGAGACATCGGATGCTGATGTGCAAGTCATTGTCCAGTACGCTGGGCGACATCTACTGGAGAAAGGCCTCCAGCGAATCATCAACGACCCTGAGTCTTGGTGGAAGAAGGAGATCGATGACATGGTCAAGACTGGTGCTGGCAGCGTTCTCGCCGCGATGAAGATTGGCCAGCTCCAGGAATGGATTCGGGAGGAGGGCACATGGTCTTGGCAGACACTCGCATCTGCCACCAATGCTTTCTCAGAGGTGAGAGTCTCCTGCAGATCCCAAAAGCTTGGGCAGCTGCAAGACGACTTCATCGTGACTTGGGCTTGGGCTTGGTTAACGTGTAGAGTTTAGAGTCTAGAGTTCAGAGTTTGAAGTTTAGAATTCATAGTTTACAGTTGGAAGTCCAGTGTCTAGAGTCTAGAGTTTGAAGAAATCTAGAATTAGAATTCAGCTTCAGTGACAGTTCAGTGATTTCAGTGTGGTAGAGTTCTTTATCTAAGGCCAGGGTGCTGGCCACAGCGAAGAGGTGGATGGCTAGCGGCAAGGAGGACGAAGTCAGTAGCCGCCATGCCGACTGCATGCTGGCTGACCTTGCGTCCGTCATCGAGTACCCCCACGTGCGTGACGTGCAGCAGAAGGTGAAGACATGGATGGCAGAGCGGCAGCAACTGGTTGCTACTAACGACCTGCTGCAGATCCTCAATTCCGAACCCGGGAGTTCCGTCGACGCCAAGAAGGTCCTGGTGTGCATGAAGAGTTGCGGGGCATGGCCGGAGAACGCCGTCCAGCTCCTTCCTGGCTTCATGAAAACATTGATTCAGGATACCGTGGCCAAGGCCGAGTGAGACCAAGCGGAGCTGTTGTTGTTTGTTTGAGTGAGTAGGGTATAGTATAGGGTGTAGGGTGTAAGGTTTTAGAGTTATTCAGAGTTTAGGGTTTAGGACCTTTAGGATCCATGGTTAGAACTTTAGGGTTTCGGATTTTGGGTATAGGGTGTAGGGCTTTTGGCGCTAGGGTATAGGGCCTAGGGTGTAGGGTTTAAGCTTTAGGGTTTATAAGGTTGAGCACCGTTTAGGATTTAGAGTACTAGGTCACTAGGTTACTAGGTTTGGGGGTTTAGTTTAGGATTGAGTGCCAGGTGAGTGGACTCGAGCCAAAGCAGTCGCAGATCCGCGAGAACTTGTCCCTTATGAGGGAGCTTGTGGGCAAGACGCCAGACGGTGATTGCGCAGCCTGTCTGAAGAGGTTTGTGTCCTGCTGGACTGATATCTTGACATCAGGCAGCGTGCTCCTCACTGGCAATCTCACGGTGAGAAAGAATGAGGACGACTTCAGCAAGTTTTTCAAGGAGCAGGGCCTGACCACCTTGAAGACATTGGCTCAGCAGAGGAAGAAGATCAGTCAGGCCGACGAGACTTTGGACAAGATGGAGGAGGAACTCACGAGGCTCGGGTTGTCTGACCTCGTCACGATGCGCCTTCCCAAATCCATTCAGTCCGAGTTGTCAGCGCAGAGCTTTGACGATGCGGTGAGTTTTCAGGCGGCTTGATGGGCAACACCAGCGTTTGGTTGCCAAGAAAGAGGCTGGCGAGGTCATCAACGTTGACAAGGACTACTTCCATGCGTTGGCCTTCAATGGAGAGGATAGTTGGCGCCACAAACTTCCTCAGGATGGTGATTGGGAGGCCGTCTACAAGGTTGCCAAGGAGTACATCCTGAAGTACCTTTCGGCCACGTGCGTCAACACGTTTGTTGATAGATTCAAGGAGGACGGAAATTCGAACATAGTGGCCCTGCACCCCAAATCTTTGACTACCTTACCCGACTACCCGTACCCTACACCCCACACCCCAAACCTTCAAACCCTCAGCCCATCAATGAACATGTGTGTGGGCTACAAGCGGTTTATATCCACAGGTCGATGCACACAGCTAGAAGCCTCAGCTCAAGCAGAGTTCCCGCTAGAAGCATTAGCTCCAGCAGGCAGCACACAGACTCAGACCACATAGTCCCCCTTAAGTAGATAGAATGTGGAAGTGGCCAAGGTCAGAGTCAGATCCCTATATAGCCCAATCTACCCCATAGTCGCCATAGTCTATCTACCTAAGGAGGACTAGACTAAACTAAACTTCACAAAGCCCACGTATTTTAGATTGGTGTGCTCAAGCCCTGGTCCCAGAGCAGGTGTCAGCAGACATCAAGTCGTTCCTGCAGGTGTTTATCAAGGAGGTTTCAAGCGATGGTGCCCGGGAAGCTCTTCAGGAGCTCAAACAGCTTCAGGACAGGGCCGCAGATGATAGCCTCATTGCTGAGACCTACAGGGTGGAAATCTTCTTGTGCAAGGGCCTTCGACAGCATGCACTTGGCAAGAGCACGAACAACGAGCAGGAGGTTGCCTCTGCTCTGTCCCAGGTGCTTCTACAGGGTCAAAGCCCAAACCCCGGATATGCCCTAGCCCTTGCCCTAGATCCTAAAGTAAAGTTGAAACTTGACCCCCAAATCCTAATCCTAAACTTCTCTAAAGCACACGACTCATCCAACATGCAGTTTTAAGGCATTGTTATGTTTGTTATGTGCATTGCCATAATTGGACTGGAGTCTTCAGTCCTGCAAGTTGTGCAGGATGTTGCTGGGGGGTTGTGGTGACGGTTACTTGTATCTTGGCCCATCCCTGAGGTCCAGAAGCAGCTCGCGCTGATCACCCCATCAAATTCGTGCCCTGTGCAGGAAGAGCACGTTGCCCCACTTGTGTTAAAGCTTTCCCGCGAAATCGTGGGATGAGCTGAAACTGCTGCTGAAGGCAGCTTCAGATGTCTGAGGGCTTTGAGACTTGCTGACGATGTAAGTTCCCAGGCTAACACCAATGTGCTCAGCGTGGATTGGCTTTTAATGGGGCATCTTCATGCTGATTAGGGGTGCAAATCGGATAAATAGGCATATATGGTTATAACCTTAGTTAGTAAAGGTAGCTGTAACTAGACAGGAAATTTCAGCGGACTCAGCCTGTGATTAGGGCTTTAAGCCTCAACTGGGCAAAACACTCCCGGAAATGGGCCAACAAGGTATTCAACAGATATTGCATCAATCGTGACTCTTGCTGACTTTTGCGAAAAAGGGGCGAGAAAAAAATGGGCTTGCGAAAAAGGGGCGAGAAAAAAGTGGTTTAATTACTTAGGCTTGATTCATAATTGTTTGGTATCAGTTTTGGCAAGCATGTGTCCTCCTTGAGTTGAGGGCAAATCCCTATCCGTGTTTTGCTGTTGCGCGACAAATTTCTTCATTTCCTGCGCCAAAACATCGGTTGAGGCCCTCAACCGATGAATTGATCGGAGATCATTCATAAACCGTAGACCTGGCCGCACAGACTCGCTGCCCGAAGGCGGGCTAGCAACAGGTCAGGTGCAACATGGGAGCAAAAAGCCCAGGGGAGAGCGGCTACTGGAGGACAGTGAGCTTGTCGTAGCACATCACTGGCGAGTCAACCCTAGTTAGTCCCTCAACTATACCTTAAGCCCTAAAGCCCTAAGCACTAAACTAAACTAAGCTAAACTTCTGAGTCGTCTTTGATGTAGCCGATACCACAACAATACGAGCTAAGTATGTCAGTAGGACTGCGATGTTCACGAGTATGTGGCCCCTGTCTCAGCAATGTCATGTGAATCCTGCCAGGTAAATGTCAAACACCGCAACTCAATCTTCGGGTTTTCCAGGATATGTAATTTTGCTTGGGGTCCCCATAGTCAAGATTATAAAGTTGGCCATAGTTTGGGGAATCTATATTAATGGGGTTCCCCTATTCCTGGAAACCACTTTTAGCCAATAGTGTTTAAAGGGAACAGCTTGATGGTGCATGCAAAGCTCAGGCGTGTGACTGAGAGTGACACTCCAATCACACCAAAATCCCATGCCACAGGCGCACAGTCATCCCATGCCACAGGCACACAGTCATCCCAGGTCACAGGCGCGCAGTCATCCCAGGTCACAGGCGCACAGTCATCCCAGGTCACAGGCACACAGTCATCCCAGGTCACAGGCGCGCAGTCATCCCAGGTCACAGGCGGACAGGCAGATCAGACCGCCAGTGTTCAGACAGCGCAGAGCACCGGTGCCCATTCTGGTGTTCAGCAGTACGCCCAGGTGAGGTACACCAGCGCTAGGCCAAGCCAAGAACTTGTTGATGCCTCATATGGTTGGCAGACGCTTGAAAGCAGTGGCCATTTCATTTGGAGAGGACTCAGTGATCATTTTATCGACCCATCCTTGTTGGTGCCAATCACATGGCCATACCGCACTACACTTGTGTATGTTGATGATGGATGGAAAGTCTTGGAACTGTGCGTAGCCTGGCAGTCTTTGAAAGACCCCATTGCTTTTCTACCTTGTGGAGAAGCCCAGTGCATGGTGGTCCTCAGCTCAGGTGAGGAAGACCCAAGCATGTTTGGCGTTGAAGTGTTGGGCGAGGTTATCCAGAATAGTGGCTTTCAGGACAGTGATGCCATGCTTTTGGATGATGAGCCATGTGTGGATGCTCCGGCTGGGGCATCCGAGCCACAAGAGTTTGCTCCAGCACTGCCAGAGCCCGTTGCAGATCAGATGGAACATGTTCCTGCCTCTGTTCAGACAGATTCAAATGAGCCAGTCGTAGTGGATGGTATAGGGCTATCTATGGGATCCACGTTGGGTGCACTTAAGGCGGCCTGCTTGAAGCTCAACCTTTCACAATCAGGGTCCAAACGTAGGTGCCTGGACCGCTTGAGAGGGTATGTGCAAGGTCACTCATCTCCCGTATAAGTCTTGGTGTCTGAAGGCGGTGCCTGATCAACACCGTTCGCTTCCAGAAGGGGTTCGAGAGTACCCTACAATCTCCTTTGACATGAGCTACACTGGATATGATTGCACTAATGAGCCAGCAGATTCTGAAAAGTACAAATTGGCGTGCCTCATAGTGCACTGCAGTCACACGGATGCAATTGCAGCAGTACCTCTTCCTGATAAGAGTGCGCCTTCAATGAAACACGCAGCTGTGGAGGTAGTCCGCTTTTGTCAGCGACAACGAGCCATCCATGTTGCTGCTTCAGGGCTTAGCTTTGAATGCTCGCAAGCGGTTGGGTTTTAAGACTAGGATTAGGAATCCGCCTGTTGCAGCCCACCAGGCCAATGGGCCAGTGGAGAAAAGTGTGGATGTCGTCAGAAGATTGGCCAATGTCATGCTGTCCATGGCCCGGGAACGCCTGGGAATAGAGATTGGTGTCAACCATCCTCTCTTCAGCTGGGCGTTCATCCACAGTGCGTGGTGCTACTCCAGGTATCGTGTCAAAGCTGGCCTCACCGCTCACGAACGTGCGAGCGGGGCACGATACAATGGCAAGCTTGTACCATTTGCTGAACCGGTGTATGCCTATGTGAAGCCCATTCAAAAAGGTAACGCCAAGTGGGAAATGTCAATTTTCTTGGGCAAGTCCACAACAAGCGACATGTTCATTGTTGGAACAGCGCAAGGCATCCGCCTCACCAAGTCCGTTCGACGGACTGGACAGCCATGGAAGATGGAACACAAGCTCGCTGAGAGTCTGAATGTGCCATGGGATTATCATTTAGGCACCTTAGGCACCCGACTAGTTCCTCAAGCTAGGACTAGGGCCCCTAATGCTGTAAATGTCCCAGCTATAGCCCCTGTGCCAGAGTTGATGCCGCGTCCAGGTGGTCTGCCCAGTGTTCCAGCAAGGTCAGACAGGATGCTAGGTGCGTATGTTGCTCCAGCAATGCCGCCACAGGTGCAAACTCAAACTTCCGAAGGCCATCCGCAACAGCCACCATCCATTGCGTCCGCAGCGCCAAGCGCAAGGCCAAGGCTAGTCCTTTCGAGAGATCCCCGCACCCGAGCAGCAGAAACTCCAATGAGCCCAATGGACGTAGCTGGATCAGATCCACCTACAACGCCTGAGGAAGCTCCCTTGTTGCCAGATTCAGCTATGTTGTCAGAGCTTGTTCCAGGGGCGCCCAGGCATGAGGTAGGCGGGGATGCAGGTGATGCAGATGCCAGGCCAAGCAAGATTCCACGCGTGAGGCGCATTGCAGATGAGGAAATGTTCGTGAATGATGAGGAGTTATGTGAGCCACCGGAATGGCGAGATCCAGCGGTGTATGCGCAATGGATTGA